GGGAAATATTGCGTTACTGTACCTATTATTTAAGTATAGTGTGTACTTGTGTTTGTTTCTGCCAAGTTAGTTTGTCCAATGACTCGTTATATCTTTCAGCATAGCTTAAAAAAAATCGAGCATTGCATATAATTGACAGTAAACATAAATTATTTTATACAATTGTAGTTGTAGTGTAATGTCAATGTCAGAGTCTATTTTTAAGGTTAAAAAAAGTTTTAACCGGAATCTTTTTTCCAGACAAATATCTGTACTTCTGCTGAGGTGTATTGTGATTACTTTTGCAAGTGTGAAATCAAGAAGAGAGAAATCATGTAAAGACAACTTGGGGGGGTGGGGGGTGCACATAGCTACTTACCATGTCCCATTATTATACTGTCACTCCAAGTGTCTAGTACAGCTAAGTACCCTCATTAGAAGCAAATTAAACAAAGACCCAAATATCAGACTTTCATCTCATTCCTGTGCAAATGTAATTTTTTTTCATTCACCCATTCATTCAATTCGGATATCTCTTGGTCGCAGTGAGCTTGAGCATACAATCACTGACTTTAGACGAAAGGTGGACTACCCCCTGGACTGGCTGCCAGTCAGTCGCAGGGCACATACAAAGACAAACAACCATTTACTCTTACATTCACATCATCCCTGAGTGGGACTTAACCTACGCTGCCTGCACTGAAATCAACTGAATATAGACAATGAAGTGCATGTGAATTTTTATATACAATATGGCATAGTGCAAGCCACATATTCTCTTTAGCATTGCTCACCACTAATTATAACACAATAACATGCAACTCAGAGTCAATTTATTTTTATTATTATTCAGCAGCATAGATAAGCACTCAATGCTCAATCTCTTCATCCTTTAACAAAATCTGACAGGTAGAAAAATAAATCATAAGTTACATCTTGATAGATATATAGTATATAGGACTGGATGTTTTCATGGAAAACTTTCTCAACAATGAGGTCAAAACCACAGTTGATGACATTGAGGTAAGCATGGATGAATGTGTGTGATTACAGCATCAATAGTAATCGGGACACCAAAACACGAAACCATACAGACAAGTTAAATTCCACATTACATCCTAGATCTAAACAGATCATATACTGTACTGATAGATATGCTGTACAGTATATTAAGATTTGAAAATTATCTGGAAACTTCTCCGCATGCATTTCAATGGAGAGCTCGCTCGTGTCAAAGTGAACGCCATGCTACATCATTACACAGTTGGCTATGTGTCTTTCTTGAATGTAGTCATCCTCAAACTATTCCCGCTTACACACAGTGGCTTATGCAAGTTGCTCACTTCTTGTATCCGAATTCCGAAACCTGCAAGAGAGAGAGAGAGAGAAACAAACAGCACACCTTTACAAGGCCAGCAATGTTGGGGAGTTGAGGTGATCGACAGATTCAGCTTTTCCTCCTCCCCCTCCTCCTCCTCCTTTATGGCTGTCGAGTCCCTCTGTGAGCAAGTCCAGCTCAGGACAGGAGAAGGTAAACACCGACAGGTAGCTGCTGCAGGTTGGGGTGGAGGTCACCACAGGAGTACTGAGGGGCTCCAGGTCGCTGGAGACAGACTTGTACAGGGTCTCCCAGTCTGAGACCCCGAGGGAGCCACTCAGATCGATGTCCGGAACAGACCGGGCCGTCTCTGTGGGCGGCTTGTCCTCCAAAGTGGGCAGCATAGCGTCCAGGAGCCCCCCCTTGATGTCCAGAGAAGGCTCCAGATCGCAGATGTTGATTTCGGCGCTGGCGCACAACAGGATGTTGGAGTTCCCCGAGATGGCTGTGGACGGATCGCTGGGGATGTCCATGTCTTGGAGCGAAGGCGCTTCCTGAACGTCGTCGTCCGGGAGCTGATCCTCCTCCGGACTTGGCGGAATTTCTGGGGATCCGGCAGACTCAAGGAACACAGACTCCATGCCCTCGGACATTTGGCACACCGGTTTATGCGTGGCCAGGATGAATTCCAGGCGCTCTTTCTCTTTGAGGAGGTTGGCAATTTCTGTCTCCAAGGATGCATTGTCTTCCTCCAGCTTATCCGTCTCCTTTTCGGGATACAGAGCAACCACGTTCACACATGAGTGGGTGCGAATGACAGCTGAGCAAACGCATCCCTTGTTTACTTACAGCTTGCAGCGTATCCGTCAGTTCCCTCCGTCGGTTGCGACACTTGGCAGCAGCCATTTTATTCCTCTCCCTCCTGATCCTCTTCTTCTCCTCCTCTTCCGGAGAGAGCTGGCACAAAGAACAATTGAGTGAGAACCTCCAAGAATCCGGCCCCTCTCATCCCCAGATGTCTGCTATACATCTCACTGCCAATTAATGCAGCCTCTGGAGAACGGCAACATGTTTCGTGGCCATGCGTCTAAAAATAGGCCATTGTTGCAGACTTGCTGTGACCTGAATATAAATGCAGTGCCGATAAGGAAGGGCATGCACAATGCCGTGCACGAGTTATTCACTGTAAATGTGCATTGCATGCTGTGAGTTACCCGATACCTGCTCTGCTTTTGCCTTCCTCGCTGCATTCTTTCCCTTATTCCTGCTCTCTCTTATGGGTGTTGCCTTGCGAGAGCTCTGCGGCTGATTGGCTCGCTCGCAACCCGGAGACGGGGAGACAGATGTAATGATTGTAGGCTGGACCATCCACTGGAAATCAGGGCTGGAGGAGATTGCAGTGACGGTCGGAATAAACGCAGTGTCTTGGCAGACGTCCTGAGGTGGAAAAATAAATTGAAATATTCACAAATGAGATTTTTTTAAATGCCTTTTAAATGGATCTGACAGTGTAAATTGAAAGAAATGGAAATATGGACAAGATTTCTGAGGAGATATCTTGAGTGGGAAAATAAATAGAAATAATCAATCATGAAACATATTGATCCATTTGGGATAGACGCTTCCATGGATCCGACTGCATAATGTGGACTACCGTTCCTTGACATGTAGCCAAACAGAAATAGCCCTCTCCCCCGATCAATATATGACTTTATCATTGCTAATGACGTCAGCGCTGACGCAGGGATGCTGTGGAGTCTCCTGAATGGATTTATATTTCTCAATGAACCTCTGCATCGACACGCTCACATCTGGCCCACAGCTTGGAAGCACGCACCAAAATAAAAAGACGAAAGAAAGAAAATCACGACTCACAGTTTCCCACGCACCGCTAAGGTCACAGAAAAACAACAAATATTAAAATGTGTCTAAAATGAAATAATCCAATTTAGAATTTGTGCCACAAGTTAAAACGGCGAATAAAAACGGTCTGTGTGTTGAATGCTCGATCAAGACCCATTCATACCTTTGCATTGCTCCCTAAGGAAGAGGAGGATGAAGAGGAGGCAGGAGAGTTCGCCTCCTCGGCCGTCTCCTGGCACCTTGTCCCGGCGGGAGAGTCCGCCCGGCAGGTGGGCGACACCGCTTCCAACTCAGGCGTCATCTCTTTACGAAGCATCACGAAGAGACACAAAAAGAATCGACTTAATTTTTTTTTTAAATAGAAGAAGAAAAGGCTTACAGGAAGCCTGCCGAGATTCAGTCGTCCAGGTATAAAGTCTACCTGGTAACTGGACGAGCTGGATAGAAGCCCCTCCTTTAGAGCCCTGCTACAATTTTATGAATGAACCGGGACTGTACCATTGTCAGAGGTGCGGGGGGTTCTGACTGAGAGCAAACAAAGGCTCCCATGTTTTTGTCGTTGGAGCTTTGCCTTAAATTCTTCATCATACGTCTGCAGTTGATGATTTTGCCCATTCTAGATGTCAGCTAAATACCATCTTTGACATACGTGTGTGTGTGTGCGTGTGTGTATGTGTTATTAATACACACGTGACCATATATTTCCTCAACTGTGTCATTGGGTGCGTTTGTTCATTCAATTCCCACCTTTATCAGCCTGCATTTTCATTTATACGACACGATAAAAAACAAATCACATCGTTTGACAATCAACTTTCCGTGTGTTATTTTGTTATGAATGAAAAATACTCGTACGTGAGACGTCATAATATTTGTTCTGAGGTGAGGATAAAAACGTGAGGGCGAAGGAGTCACGTGACTGGAGGACAGGAGGAGACGAGCATCCTCCTCCTCCACAAGGACAGAGACTGATGAATTCTTTCTCGGTAGAATTTGGCAGACATTTAATGGTTTTTGGACGCAACGTGTGAGCGGTGACACATGTTGTTTGTGTGGCCAGGAAATAAACAAGGTCGGTTTTAAGTAAACAACAGGCCAGTTTAGCGTGGGTTACTGAGCCATACTGTTGGGGTCTGTATTGTGTAATTACCCAAAATGGACAATTTCAAATTAGATCATCCTACTTCTTGTAGCATGATTGATATACACAGTATTGATTACACCATAACGTTTTCAGACATTCTCAGGTAAATAAAAATTATAAGGAGGTTATTCATTTCAAAATATGGATAATACATTGCAGGGGCGTTACGAGAATTTTTTTTCTGTGAGATTGCACATCTCACTGAAGGGTGGCCTTAAGTGTGCATATGTGTGCTCATGTCCATTTGCATGCTCCGAACCGCCTCTGTAACTGAGAAGTCATTGTTTATCACACCATTCACTGTCAGAGTTTTATCAAATCAAATATTCTTTACTTATCTAAGACTGGTTCTTTTAAGAGTTTGCAGTCAGATAATTTGTAACCTTGATCTTTAAATACACCGTTAATATAAATGGACGGTGGTAGAATATCAAGGAAACTAAGAATACTGCATCCATGTGAAAATGGCAAAAAGGTAACAAGTTTCAATATTTTCCCGTTATGGCCACTATGTAGCTCTGACCCTGTTACAGTGGTTGCAGTTTGTGGTGACATGTTACAAATCCAACCGGAAGTCATTCGCTGTCATCAACACGATTGGGAGATTTTGTCTAATTTTGCTCAAATTTGAAGATATAAAAGATGCACCCAAGTCGAAGTCACAGGACCAGCCAAACTATGAAAAAAGATGTACTCCAGACATTTATATGAAAAGATCAATTTATTATTTAAAAAAAAAAACTATTTAATGAGGTTGCCACAAAATTATCTATTCCCATACAGTACCCATGCTTTGTACATCCTTCTTAATTTTCCGAGGTTGGGTTTCTGAGGTTCCTGTGGAGGACAAGAAGGCTTCGTCATCGTCAACAGTGGGCACACTTTTTAAAAGCACTAAAGCATTCCAGTACCTTCTGGTTGGGCTCCAAATGAACAACGTCGACGAGCGGAGCGATGGACGGGCGGCCGTGGGCGCACTGGAAGGGCAGCTGGCAGGATGACAAGGACGCAACCAAGCTGTGGCACTCGTCTTGATTCAGACTGTCGTTGAATTTGATGGCGCCTGTTGGAATGTGTCACTTTTCAATTATGACACTTGGAAGCCAAATGATGATGGTGTGGAATGATGTTGATGAGTCGTTTGGCCTTACCGTGACACGCTAGCGAGGCGAGGACTTTCAGCACCGTGAGCGGTAGAGACCCTTTCACTGTACCAGTGGAACGAAGTAACTAACAAAAACAATACAGTGGGACCTCTTACACAAAGTCTACACACCCCTGTTTAAATGCATATAGTCAAGGTGAAATGCATTATGAACACTTCCAGAAACTAGGTAGTGAAAGCACAAAACCGCCACTTCATTTGGAATAATCACTTCAACTTTGGGGAGTTCAGCAGTACTTTTAATATTCTAACCAAGCACGGATGCTTCAATCTTACCTCTATCAGCTCTTGAAGGTAATCCTGGGGAAAAAAAAAAAAAAATCACACATAACATTGAGAGTCGCTCATCTCAATTATTTGATTTTTAACAAATTTTCACCTCAACAACGCGCTTGATAATAGATGGCCTTTTCCGCCGAAGCTCGTTATTTTCTTTTTCCACCAAACAAACGGGCACCTTGCCTACGAGCACCTGGTCATCCTGCCTCGGTGTGAATGTCACTTCCAAGCCCAAGCTCCGCAAATGAATCTGACAAGACCTGGTTGAGGACAGAGCAAGTTGCTTGTTACATGTTCATTTCATGAATCGCGATCGACCGGTAGTCCGCGGACTGGTCCCGAGTTGATGGCGAGGGATGTTGGGGGGAGATTTCTGTGTCTGCGTGTCTGTTAAAAAGCAGGTCACCTTTAACCTGCGGTGGCGCATGACCTGCATCACTGGTCAGCAGTCTGCAATGGCAGCTTGCGATCAAAGCCGTTGCAATTTAAAAAAAAATATATATTCTCATTCAAAATTTGTTTAATCTCCAATTCACCGATGACACTGGCACAATCCTGCATTACACTGAAAGGAGTTTGTAATAAAACATACTTGAGAGGGTAAATCTGGGAGATGAATCAATGGGGGGGGGGGGGTGCTAGTGTACCTAATAAAGTGTTCCTTGTTGTGTTGCACATGTAGTAATATCCACCTGAGCAGCCTTTGTTCCTCTTCTGTCACACAGATGTGCAGAGGTGGTAAAATAGTGGATGAACAGAGACGCCTCTCGCCGGGTGCGTTTGGGTCCTCTTCAAAGGAATCTGGAATGGTACGCTGTGCTTTCAGTGCAGCTTTGGAAGAGTATCTCTTCACTAATACCCACAGTATACTGACTGCATTGTTTGTCTTGTTCTATACCTGCTATTAGGTTTTCAAGACGTACTCTCTCATGTGCAGCGTGTTGGTCCAACAGTACTAAAAGATTCCCTGTGGTTTAAAACCAATGAATATGAGAAGAAGGAAAACAACAAAGAGGAACAAGATCAAATGATCTTCCATACCTTCACATTCCGTATCGTCAGTTGTATTGATAAGGCACGCAAGAAACTTGTAATCAACTTGATTGATCACCTGCAATTGGAAATCAAGTTGCTTGCTGTAATATTTAAAGGGGACATGTTACTAAAATTGACTTGACTGCACTGGTGAAAAAACGTGTCTGTGAGCGCGCCATTCTGCATTCCCGCCTCACTTTTCAGGACAGTAAATAATTTCAATAACTGCCACAGAGTTTCTCGGCCCATGGCTGGACAGGATCCAGCAACTGCCAGTAACAAGCAACAGCCGGAGTTTGGCGCCAGACTACATGAAATCATGTCAAACCCAACAGGTAAGCAGAGCTGCAGTGTTAGCACATGCTACTGTGAGCTAACAGTGTCGCCAGAATTTGCTTGTGACAACTAGCCCATATTCATTCGGTAAAGTTGTGGACAGGGAAGGAGGTGGAGGGCTCAAAAATAGTCATTCAGTAAATTAGTCCCCCCGCCCCACAGAATGTTACTTTCAGATCTAGATTGTTGACCATCATAAAATCCTACTTATCATGTGTAAACATTTTGAATGACTTTTTAGATTTGTGGATTCAATGCCTTTTAAGACTTTACAAGGACTGTCTTGTGTTCTGGAGGAAATCTCAGGTCTCCTGAAGTCTCTACTGACACCATAAAACGTGGCTATATTTGTTACTCTTTGCTTTTCATTCATTTAGGGGGGGAAAAAAATTGCTCAAGATATATGCATGCACCCGGCTGTCATAGTAACAAAAATTATACTCTGCGATTGCATGAGACACAAAAGGTGCAATATTAACACAAGGGCATATTGAGTTTGCTTCATTCTTTATCCTTTGTGCATTTTGACAGAGACTTTTTTAAGACACTTGAGAACTCTTTGAAATTGTGGATAAAGCGTCTGTGTAAAAATAGCTCCTCTCAGATAGTCCTTTAGTGAGCCTTACCTTCATAGAGTGTATCATGGCCTTCGAGAAGCGGTACGGAAACAGGATGTTGTGGATCTTTACAGCGAGACCACCAGGTTGCCCACTTGAGATGTCCACACCCACCTTTTATCACGGCACCAACATAAAAAAAAAAAAAAATCATGAAATCTGAATTTGTACGGTGGACATATATAAAAAGCCAATCCTGGAAAAGCATGAGAGACCAGTTTACCTCTGGAGGACGCACAAACACAGGGTTGTTCCAGTTTGAGTACAAAGACAGAAGTGAGTTGCAGGTCTCGACATTGTCACCTGGGAGAAAAAAAAAGGCACATTTAATGTTGTACAATATATGAGCACGGGTCCTTCGTTCAGATCCTTCAGTGGTTCAGTACCTGTGTCATCTCTCCCTGCATGAAGCACTCTTTCACCTCTGGCTTTAGGCAAGAAGGGCAGCACTTGCTCTGCCTGGAACGGGTAACACCTGTATTCCATCCCTACAGTAATACAGCAATATAATAACACACGAAAGAGGATGCACCGGGCACAGTCATTACAGTGGAAACTTCGACATGGTTTGTCACTTTATTGTTTTATGCTGTAGCTCCAGTAATCACATTTCTTTATAAGGCTTCATGTCTTGCTGCCCTACCACATAGTTCAGGTATATTAAATAGACAGGTGATTGTTGTAACACATATTAAACTGCCAGTACTAGCCAGAAATTGCCGCACTGTCTTCAATACTGCAGTCTCTCTGACCAGTTTTTTTTTTAATTGAATTAGTTTTTGGGGAGGATGTCCAATTTTTTTAATGTCACATTGTCACTATTGTGTCATTTTGTCTCCACTTGATTATCTTCATTGGTTTCCTTGGTATATTTGATCTCTTGGAAATTGTGATACTTCTGTACAATGAGATCCGTTGGATACTGTGAAAGCTCATCTGAACCTGAACAATACTTGTGTTGCCAACTCCCATTTAACATCGCCTGAATGTGATTGGTTTCTTCTCAACACAGCCACATCCCCAGTTTTAAGAGGGTGCGGCTAAACGTCTCTGGTGTTTAATTTTACTCAGCCTCTTGAAAATTGACTTGTATAGGTCTCATATTTTGAAATAATGTATTGATTTTTCCTTTTTTTTTAACATCAAAACACTTAACATTGGAACAAGGGTGTGTTGACTTTTTATATTCATCATATCTGTTTTCTCTCAATCTAGACAATGATACTTTGTACTGGGGCTCCAATGACTGCTTGTGACTCACCAGTTTCAGAAACGACACTAACGGCCATGTTGGTGACATCCGAAGTGCAGCGGGCCTGTGTTTCTTCCATCGACGGTTCCTCGTATTTGCTAAGCCCAGTCACTTTGTTGACATACGCCATTTTTCCCATTTCGGTATCAAAGTGATGGAGCCAGTCAGTAGATGTTGCAGTTGTACCGACATCACTGGGCTCAGCACGGGCATTGTTAGCGCCGTCTTGAAAGCCTTTCGTACTAATGACGGAGGAATTATGTGGAGAAGCACAACTGGGTGGGACTGCGTCTTTTCTCCCATTTTGTTTCAGTTGGTTAAGTTTGCCAGCTAAAGATTGTTTTTCCGAAGTGCGTTTTAGCGTGGTGTACGCTAAGGGTGCAGCAGAGCTTTGAGGGCCTTCTGGTTTGTCCGCTTTGGTTTCTGTGACGTCACTTTTCAGTTGCTGGTTCTGGGAAATAACACCATCTTCTCCAAGGTCTGGCTCAGGTAGTCGAGCATTAATAGGACTCTCCATAGAGCTAAGCTTTGTTTCTACAGATTTTCCATAAATTCTTCTGAACTCGTCAAGCGATCCAGATCCCTTAGCCGCAACTTTGGGAACCTTTGAGGGGACAGCAGGAGAAAAGCTTCTGTGCATTCTTCGTGACAATGAAGCATGGTGTGCGTCAAGGCAGATTTTGCGTTTTAAATGCTGCTGATGAAATTGTGTCCTGGTGCTGTGGGGAGCCTCCTGCAGACATTTGTGAATGAATGGACAGGATACACGAATCTTTCTGAACGTCTTTTCTTCTGCCCCGGTTTCCTGCGGAACGAGAGTTGTTTCACTGACTGATAAATGAACGTTTGTAGTTGTTTGGGGCAACCTGATCTCTTTTTCAATGTCCACAGCTTTACTAAACGCGGTCTCTGACTCTTTTGCATCGTTAACAAGGTCCAGTCTAGTCAGATCAACATGTCCGTTATTTTCAGTTGAAAGCACATCAGCTGCAACGTGAGTCTTGGGTTTACGATGAACATTTTGCGATGCCAGTGTCGGCGCTGATGTATAAATGGAGTTTGTACCAACACTCTGGTCAGAACTATTGACTTCATGCACAGCGCTGTCGACTTTCATCAACCTTGGCGACGCATCGTGCAATTCATCTTGGGAGAGCACCAAGTTCTCCCTGCACAGGAAAGCTTTTACGGCCTCTTCTATGCACAGCAAAACACCATCCCAATCTTTGAACTCGATTAGGGTTTTGGCAGGCTCAAGACTAATATCATACTCCAAATAGGAACATTTAATATTCATGACATATATTCCATGGAGGTCTTGGCAGCGTTTCTGCTTGGGGCTCCTGATGGCAGACTGTTTTTCTGGGCTGTCATTCCTCTGGGTTGGACTGCTAAGTCTACGTAGAAGCGAGTTCAGCAGTGTGTGTATGCGCGTCTTTAGAAGCAGTCTGCCATTCACATACAAGAATTGCAAGCTACTGTTGTAGTGGCCCTCTCTGCCAAGGTAACCCGTCACCTCAAACTGGGCATGCGTGTGCTGGATCTCACCGAGTTTCTGAGCTCGGGTCAGGCTGTGGATCTGGATAAACCTGTGGTAGGTGTCTCTGGCTTTGGGGAGCTGCACTATCATGGCTCCCATGCAGTCATTCTTCAAGGTGAAGGACACAGAGGGGTGCATCAGGGACATGGCCTCCACCCGGTACCTGACCCTCTCACGTTCCAGGACAAGGTCCATCCTCTTCCTGCGCACGGGCATGTTGTGGAACAAGTTGCAAATGATAACTGTGGTTCCAGCAGTTGGTCGACAAATGTCCTTTTCGAACACATCCATTCCTTTGCCATTCTTAAAGATCCTAACAAGTGTCCTGCCTGAGTTTTTGGCCCGGGATGAGATTTCTACAAGTGTGGCTAAAGCAACTATACTTGCAATGGCTTCACCTCTGAAGCCATAGTACCTGAGCTCGTCCAGGTCGCCCAGTGAGTGACATTTGCTGGTGTGGTATCTGTTCCCTACACACGCCATGTCCTCTGCGCTCATCCCAGCGCCGTTGTCGATAACCTGCACCTTGAACGCCTCCAGATCCATCCGGACGCTGACACACGTCGCTCCGGCGTCGAGGCTGTTGAGGATGAGCTCCTCGACGCATTGTTGAAGAGATGGCACGGCGACACCGGAGCGAAGTTTCACCCGAATCTCTTCCGACAGACATTTAATCATTTCGGTTGCACATCTTCACTTGTTTGGAAACGTGACGTTTCAGCGTCGCCACAGTCCTCATATCGTGACCGCGGAATATTCTCGCTGCTGTCACGAATTAGTGATTGAAATACTTAAGGAAAAAAGTAAACGACGCGTTAAAACCAACATATCGGTTGTCGTTAACAGTCAACACGAAGGATAGTCTGCTGGCACCGGAAGCTAAACTAAACGGCCTGCCATCTGTGTTGTGGAATGAACCAACGGCCTCATCCTAGGGCGCCCCCTACTGCACGTCATGTGTACTCGGGTTTCATTTTGGTGCCGTCGGAACCTGAGAGCGACTTTGAAAAATAAAATAAAATGAATGAAAATGGCAGTGGGGCGGGAGACATACACTCAAGAAATAACAAGATTTACCCACATTAGGATTATTAATTTGCAGTATATGAAGACATCATTTTGACTTCGAATTAAAAACAATGATTTTCAACAGCTCAATTTTGTTTATATAGCGCTTGAACAGTGAGGCAGGAACAGGATAAATATATCAATATGCAAACTATTTCTGTAAATCTCTTCTACTGTTTGCATTTTTTCATGATCATTCTGCCACGTTCCTCAAAAATAATAATGTCTCACCAATGGTGACCTTTTTTTTCTCTTTTTTTGTTAGAATAAAAGACTAGCTGTTACCAGCAGGCACAATGTCCCCTATTCAAAGCACAGCCCAGAGAGGGGTTCTCAAACTCTTTACTCTTTAAGGACCACCTAAAAAAACCCTTAACATTTCAAGTACTACCATCATGGCCATTAAAATACACCATATCATCGGTCTACTGTAAGGTCTACTGTATTTGATTTGTAACCATTCAAAATTGAATGCCAGCAAAGGTACAGGAAGGGTGTTCAAATAGCCCAATAAATGGAGCATTTGCTAGTTCACATGGGAAAAATGTCTTTTTTTGCTTTATTTATGAAAGTATTTCCACATTGTCGAGATGTAAAGGAATTTTTGTGCATTTTTCAATACTGTACATTATAAGTAACACATTTAAACAAATATTAAGAAAGGACAGACAAAATAAATAAGTGCTTGTAGGCTAATAAAGTACGAGTCATTTTACAATGTCAAAAGACGAGTGATCAAGATGGACAACAGTTTTCTCATTCTTGAACTCTGCCTTGGTAATCTGTGACTTGGGACTCCCAGTGGATTTGAGCCATTGTTGCATTTCTGTCACCTTTTTGCGTGGGCCCTGCAGCTGCCCTTGCACAGTTCCCGCACCTGTGTTTTGGACCCAACCTACAAGGCCAAGCTTCTTGGCCTGGGCCTGCAAAGTTCAACAGACGCACAAACAGATCAGGCAAAAAATATGACCCGTGCTTCAATGCACACAGAACATTACTTATGAAAATGCAATTAATACTGTACTATTATCGTCTTGACAAATGTGCACGTAAGTCGTGCTGTCATCAATCATGAACAGCAGTTTCAGTGGATATTCATATACTGTATACCGGTAACTCAATTAAAAATACTGATATATTTTCAAGATTTTTTTTCCCATTACTTTTCAGCTCATCAGCAATCTCCGTAGGAAACTGATTGCTATCTCCATCATTTGAATCAGGTGTTTGACACTTGTGCTTTAAAGTTTTGTGGCAACACTGAATGCTATTTGGAACTGTTCATAATTCAAATTACGCAAAAAAAAACAAAAAAAAAAAACAAAAAAAAAAAAACACTTGAAATCTCCCAAACATACAACATTTGTATTATCTTGTGATTTTTTTTATATCACAAAACCTGACTTTTGAACAGGTCCACTGTAACTCATAATTAGGGTAAATATTTGTAAGGAAAATTGTTCAAGGTCAGATTTCTATTTATATATATTTATGTGTGCGAGTGCGTGTGTGTCATCGTGCATTCTTGACGAAACGTCGAATGTCGATACATTTGTGAATCTGTTGATAAAGTAAAACATACCTGTGTATATTTCCGAAAAAAGACTCCTTGGACTCTTCCAAATACTTCATAATCCACAGAGATCGATTCTCCGTCTGACATGCTGCACACTGAAAAACAATACGCCACTGGCGATCTTGTAACCAAAACACATGGGGTACAGCAGCGGCATGCTTTGTCGTCTAAAATCTAAATAAGAGTCATTATTTAGATAAATATGCACATTTCTATTTGGTGCGTGGCAATTTTAATATTCACCTGAACGTTATTCAAACAGATTGGACGTTAAAGACGATCTCGGATGTAGTTTACGGTCGAACTCTTATTTCCAGAAGTGACGAAAGTGACGTAATATTAAAGCGACTGATGGTTTCCTGGCAACATACGTATTTTATCTTTATTCAACAGTAACACGCGAGATCAGTATTTAGTTCAGTTGTATTCATGTTTTGATACTTGAGAACATCTAGTCTACAGGTGTTCACGCGACCTTTTAAAGCTGTCAAACAAAAATATTGCGTAAAACAGGTTGCGTGTAGAACATCTTAAAACACTGCATTATGCGAAGACAGCCTATCTTACTTTCGACAGTTTTATTGACCAAATGTTGCAATTACAGATATATGATAAACAATATCTCGTGAGTGTATACAACACAGAACTGACTAAAGTAAAAAAAAGGAAAAATGAACGTTGGCAAATGGCTAAACAAAAGCAATATCCCATTTTAAAACCAAGTGTTTGTGCCATAATAATGACATCCTATAAGCTACTCAAAAAGGGCAATAAGAGAAAATGTCTACAGCTACCTTGTCAGTAGTTTCACCAAATGATATATAAAAAAATACATGCATATTTTTAAAGCATATAGTTGCATAAGAGATTAAGTTTCAAATAGCCCACATTTCTGGGCAATTCATTTTAAAACATTCTTGTAAAAGCTTATGATGGAAGTCTCCACATGAACAGATGACAGCCTGACAATGACACACAACTTTGGTAAACTTGAAAGTGGTGACTTTCAGACTTCATTCAGAGGGTCTACAACTCTTCTAACTGTTTAGCATTTAGCATTTTGGCTATTGACAGGCAATTGAGAGAACTGAAGAGTGAGTGCAGTCCTCTGCCAAGGTCCTGTTTCTTGTTCTACAACATATACATTTTCTTTCTCGGCCCACACATTCTCCTTCCACAACGTAATGTGGTATTTGGTTGAGGTTTTTTTTTTTTTTTGCCTAATTGTAAACACACACTTGATCAATCTGATTCAAGGCCCTGCATTTCCACTGAAAAGGTGTTCAAAGATTTTGTTTAGCCTGTTAAATGATAACCAACATGCAATCACTAAAGCCCCAAGGTGACATCACAGGAAGTAAACAATAATCACCAGTAAAACAAAGACTTCATATTCACATTGTGGATGGAATAACACTAAGATTGTCTGACGCCTCATGTTGAACCCAGCCAACATTTCAGTCTGTAGGAAGCCTGCGCACATTTGCACGAGAACAATTGTGCATATGCAATAATATAAGCAGGAAACTTGGTGCTCTGTTAAATACTGCATGTAACAACACAAGACACTTGTAAGGTGTGTGAGGCAGCCGTCTCTACTGCAAGTGGGCTTCCTATTCTCACATCAACCAGCCCGATGAATTCCTTGAGTCACTTCTCCCATTGAGAAGGGCATCAGCAGGCCGGGCCTCACAAGCTGGACCCTGCAGTTTTGCCCCCATGCTGTATGAATCCAGACGTTCGTCCTCCGCCCCCATCCTCAGGTACGGGACCGTCGCAGTGGTTGCCGTTATTATCACACCTGGCTTCCAGCAGCGACAACCGGTTGAATGCTGCCAACAATCTCTCGTTGTCCTTTTGCTGGTCACTGACCTACAACGGTGGTGGGAAGTAATCACCAACCTGATCAATTCTATGGTGGTCACACCAGATACTTCCTGACTTTCTGGCACCCCACCACCCCACGGATACCCCAATACAGTAAACCTGCACATTTTAAAGTGGCTTTTTTATGGTAGTCAGTCAAAGAGATGCGTTGTATAATAAATCTGTTGCACTGTGTGAGGTAAAAGGTAGTGACATCACATAACGACTGCTTTTTGTTCTGAGAAAAGGCTTTCATCTCACCTGCTTCTCCAGCATCTGGATCCTCAGCTCTTGCTGAGTGACCATCTCTCGCAGCTGTGAAAGAAATTTGTTTTACAAACACGGCGACCCTGTTGACACACTGTGTTGCCGGCTGGCGCATTACCTGTGCCACCTCGCTACTTGCTCTGCAACATGGGATCGAGTCCATTTGGCTGTAGATGCCTGCCTCCTCGAAGCCGTTTAGTTTGTCATCACTCATTCGCGTAGTCTGTATGAAGACGACCAACTGAGTTCACCTCGACATTGTGGCGCCTCAAAATGCTGAATGGAACTTTATGAAGCAACTTGATGGGCTGAGCTTTACGTTGATAGAGGGAACTCATTGACTGATTAGCATCCTTTGAGGAAAGGGTGTATGCTTTCACACAGCAAAAGGCCAGTCCGCAACCACATAATTTGGCTGGTTTTACATTGCACGGTTCAACTCGTGATTCATTTTTTTTCTCTCATGTCAAAATTGGGATAAGCCTGACAGCAGTGAAAACATGCAAATCAAATACGGAGAACTTGATGTCATGGAAATGACTGATTCCTGACATACACACACCATGTTTGCCCAAACACCATAAATACATTAAAAAAAGACACCCGCTGTAAATTCAAATGATAGCAAAAGCCTAAGCAAATAAATATGGTCTTAAATATTCTATTTTAGGTCTATGTCAACAGTGGCCAGTGAAGTTATGTCGAGGTTAACCTCATTTAAATTAATAGGGGGAAAGAGTCAGACCAAGCCAACTAAACGTACACACTGTTGGATAAGTGTATGATTTATGTATTAATGTGTCCTTCCATGTTGTCACTTTTCAAAGCCACTCTGTGCATTGTTGCCTTGCAGGGGATTAGGTTGCTGCAGGCTTCAGAATTTCAACAATGATGAATGGTCAAAAAGAGAGTAAAAGACATGGATGATAAACATTACCGATAGGTCATGCTCACTGCTGACAGCTGCTGCAACGGCTTTCAGATCCTTGAGCTCATCATACGGTAGAGTGGTGCTCTCCGAGAAAGATGGGAGCTGGTCAGGAGGAAGCTCTGACTCCTCAGGCATTGGGATATATTCAGCATCCTCAAGCTCCTGGATTGGGCACAATCAGGAAGAGATATTTTTGTCTGACAAGCATGTAACCAGTATGTGAGCTTGGGAGAAACCAGGAGGGGTCACAAAATTAGAAGCAACTTTCAGATTGGAAACGAACCTTTCTCAGCCAGAGAGGACACGAACTGTCTCCAGTCTGGTTTGCCATTGACATCATTGGCGTTTCCAAGTTGCAAGCATCAAGATCAACTTCCACTGTACCCCCGAGGCCCTCGTCCCGACACTCCGTCTCTGAACCCGGCTCTATTTCCAGATCCACAGTGGCTATGGAACCATCCTGTCCAATCCCTACAATTGACACCAAAACAAAAAGTATACATATTTGCTCCCTCGCAAAGTTAAAGAGAACTGAAGATACAAAAAAAAAAAAAAAAAAAAATACCACTACCAATTGACAATCCACTGCTGTTCGAGCGAATGGTCTTGGAGTTGAGCACTTTTTCTGCAAAGAGACAACAAGGAACTATCAGACAGGCAGCGACAAAAGCCATTACATCATGGAGACCATCAAATGAAATGACTCACCCATGATGATAATAGTATGCCAGCCACGACAAGAAAGGTCTGGCACATGGTGGAGCGAGCCAAAGATGGGCCTTGGCATGGCAGGACAAACCTCTGAACCAAATCCCTTGTCAGCAGGCATTCCAAGTCGCCCATTTCCTGCATTTCCCCATGCAAAAATCTGATTGTCTGCAAGAAACAAAACGGGAACTGTTCACACATATCATGTCGGTCACACAAAAATGCGAGTGTGTATGGACATATTCTATCTGCTCTTACCCTCAGTTGCTGCGATCGTGTAGCCGTCCCCGCAAGAAACTTTGGTGACAATCTTGCCCCCAAATGGTCCAACCAGGACTTGCACACCTTGGTGTTTCTTGAAGTCTTTGACACCTAGTTGGCCATACTTGTTACACCCGAATGTGAGGAGGCGACCGCGTTCTGTGAAATTGATTTCAGGATGAGGATTCAACACCCGAGTTACACTTTTTAGATACAAATTCGTGTTCTTAATTTTGTTCTTGCAGTACCATCAATGGCAGCTGTATGGTTCCTCCCTGGAGCTATAGTCTGGATCTTGAAGCGTGACAGCTGTTTTGCCAAAGTCAGTGTTGTAATGTATGGGATGGCCTGGTAACCCTGACATGCGACAGGAAAACAAATACATTAAAAATACAAGTACACCAACCACATCTAACCTCATCTTGATGTCAGTGTTCTGCGGGAATAGAAAACGAACATATCCAAATAATCAGGATTATTTATTGACCTAAATAATTTTTAAGAATGGTCAAGGAAGAGCCCATACCGCAATCTAACTGAAAATTAGTGAGTTGACTTAAAGGCACAAGAAATGCCTTCTAGTTCTGACAGATTTGTATTAAATTTTCGATTGGAATGCACAGGTTAAATAAAAAAAGTAAAATGATTTATCATAATTGTAGATCACTTTTCCGGTCTGCAAGCCAGTACCTCTCCAGGGTGGTTTTTGAGACCAGAGAATTCCTGGTTCAGACCTAGCTTGTTGAATTCATTGTTCCCACATGCTAGGACTTTGCCAGTTTCTGTCAAGAAGAAGGTTCCATCACTGCTACATGACACAGACGAGATGGTGGCGCCTTTCGGAAGCTCCACCTGAGGAGAAAAAAAATTAAATTTGTAAGTGGTCATAAGAGTGATTACAGTCAGGCATATATTCATGTCAGGCATAATTCTTACTTGCATCGGAGAAGAAAAATCATCCTCGCATTCCAAGCCCAGGCGACCTACAGATGGAAGAAATTGAAGAGAAAATGCATCAATGAGCATGAGTGCTTTGTTTCAAATAGGCTTCCGTCTCCATCTACTGGTTGAAATACTAATTACAAAAACACATTTTGGGTGGAAATGTAATAGGATCACCAAGCCATACCATACTCCCCACAACCCCAGGAGAAGACGTCTCCACTGTGGGTGAGCACCACCACGTGGTTGTCTCCACAAGAAACTTGACGGACTGGCCGCTCTTCGAAAAACTCCAGAAGGACCGGCTCCAGGATCTGCGTGCCCATGACACCCTCCACACCGATGCAGCCATAATAGTC